TCAGTTTGTAGAAGATGATAGCATTGGCAGCTTTTAATTTGGTAGCATATTCCAGTGGTTTACAGCATAAAAGGCTAGTTTTCTTTGTTTGTTGAACTGTGGAATAACGTGATCTCCCTAATGTTTTTTTGATAAGAAAGCCCCATTTGTGAGGGCCAAGCAGGACCAAAGAATAAATATTCAGGCTGATGCTTTGTGCTGCTTTGACTAATGAGTCATGAAGATGCTGCAGTTATGACGAAGACCCTACAGATCTGACCTTGTGTCCTGAACACTCCAGAGTCCTATTTTCTTATTTCAGCTCTCGAGGTCACTGTCCAAGGAGGAATCGCTCCAAGGTTATCACTGAGCTGAGTTTGCTTATCTCCAGCCAGGCGTTCAGAATGTAAAGACAGTACAGTATCCATCATCCCAGCCTGCCCCTGTCCTATTGTTACAATAATCCAGCTGTTCTTCCATAGATAGCAGAGCTCTGCATCATTGATACCCTGAGGATATCCCTTCCTGCTGGATGTGGGTCTTGATGACCTTCTCTCCTCCACGTCTTTTTGTTCCCTCTACTCAGGATGGGCTGACCTCAGCTCCTCCCCGTGTCCATGGATTTATATTTTCACTGGAAATCTCTTTATCACTCTGTAAAGGAACAAAAACCAAAGCAGCACACAACTTTGTTTATTGACTCAGTGCGCTCCTCAGAAGTTGTACCATTGCCTGGTCATAAACAGGATCTCTGTGTTTTCAGTTTCCATTCTTTATGAGTGATATTAATAGAGGCCTCTGCAGCTGTCCTGCTGACTCCCATAAGCAGGGGAACTAGCGGGAATGTCCCCTGTTTTTCATTTAAAAGGCCATCTGCGCCTAAATATACGCCTGTCGATATCAATACAGTGGTGTTAATAGTTTACCCCAGTGATATAATGTCCTGACTTGATCTTGTTGGCACTTACTTAAACACAGCTTGCCTTCAGTTTGAACAAAGTCAGCCTTGGAAAGTAGGTCTTTGAGCTAAAGAGTTTGCCGAAGCACAGTTTGGAAATATGCTGCAGATTAATTCAGAAACTTTCCACAGACATGAAGAGAAAGAAGAGACTTTTTTCAGATTCAACACAGAGCTGTTCTTCTTATGTTTACTTTTTAAATCGGTACAACAATTACTTTTCTCCAGATTTTTGTGCGTTTTTAGTCACATTTACTAAACAACAGCCGTCGCTCGCCCCTCTGCAGCTTTCTTGAAGGGCTCCATAATTCTTGCCTCTTTAAATGGAAAGTTCCATGGAAACCACCTGAGGATCTATTTTCGAAAATCTAGGAAAGACCTACATGGAAATGTGCCATAGTACATGACAGAACAGCACAGTAACCGGGCGACCACATGCTGAGTGTATGTTTTAGTCAGACCACAGAAGAACACAGATGTTAGCTCTAACAGCCAGAAACTTGTCAAGTACAGTATCTATTGCTCTGTAACTCAAATACACCTGAGAGGAAACACCCTTTTGAGTTTTACAAGGCTTTAATTTAAAGAGTGTATGATAGATATTGCATGTGGGACATAGAAGTCCTGTTTATTGTGTTTTCCTGTTGCTACCGTATATGATGTCAAAGGAAATAGTCAATCTACAGAATTGATGTGTTGCTATGACGCTCCAAGAATAGTCTCAAACATCTCAAATGGAAACTTGAGTAGTGGGGGCAGCAGATAAAGGCTTAAAGGTTGCATTAGGGTTACATGACATTCTCTGTAATTCCAGGCTGATGGTTGTTACTGGAACAAGTGTTCACAGAGTTATAGAGAAACTACACAGAAACATTCAGCTCAATTTTACTTTTCTACAGTTAATCGCCATAGAACTCTGCCTTTTGATTGGAATGTTCTACAAGCACTTTGAAATAGCTTTTATATTTTCACCAATACTGCAAAGACAATAAGCATGCAGTACCATTTCAGAACAGAGACTGTTTCGTCTGTCATGTTTTTCATCTTTATATACAGTCTATGGTTCAGTAACATTTTTATCTGAAATATAGACATATATTTTTTATAGCACCACAAATCCACAACAGGCTCTTGCAAAGGTTTGATCTGGTAACACTCAACACGTACAGTTAAGCAACTTGACTGTTGGCAGTCAGTGATGTGTGCTTTAAACATTTCATGCCCCCCTCCCCCAAATTCTGGTAATTAGTTTTCTATGGAACTGTAGACAATGACACACACCGCCTTTACACTGATCTGCTGCTTTTGCAGACATTGCTTGTGTAGGTGTGTATGAGAGAGACTGAAATAACATGCTTCAACAGTGCTGCATATAGAACATAATGTATGCTTGTCTTCCTCCCTTTAAATAATACCCTGAAGCCACATAAACACTCTGCATATGTTGACCCAAGAAGTTTTAGCTTCCAATTATTCTCAAACCACCACAGCTCTGGTAAAACATGTAGACGCAGCCTTGTACATGCATGTAATGACATCTTCTTACAAGCTTTGATGCAAGTTTACATCAAGTACGACGTTAAAGATGTTTCAGAACACCACATCTGTGTACCAAGTATATTCATCAAATATGTCTTGTGCATCGAGTTACAACCATTTTTTTAGCAGTTAATCTGCAGCTTATTTTCCTGATCAAAACAAAAACTTAGTTCATAAAATGTAAATGTGAATTATAATTTCCCAGGGTCCAAGGTGATGTTTTCAAATATCGATTGCAGTCCTAACAGTCCGAAGACAATTTTTCAATGATATGAAACAGAGAAAACCGGCAAATTGTGTCATTGAAGCAGGGGCTTGAGAATGGTTCGAGTTTTGCTCAACAAAACGTTGACTGCATATTAATTGCATGGAATGTGTTGATGCATCACACTGTTTCTGTTCATGCCCAACTACGACAGCTAAAAATGAGAAATCCTCAACCCAACCTTCAAATAGTATGGAAAACCTAATAAAATGGTGCTCTGTCTGCTCAAGCCTTGGCTGATCTTCTCCATGATATTTGTTTCCAAGGCACATAGAAACAGCTGTTTATAGCCTGCAGCTCTCTCTGGATTTCCCTCTTGTTCCCTTGTCTGTCCTTTTCCTTTGAGAAAAGGACACAAGTTTTATCAGCAACCACAATAAACAATCATTGGTATCATGTATTGGCACATGTCACTTCTGCTCGCTTTGTAAAACTCTAAAAATAGCATGGTAATGACAGCTTCCAGTGCACAAAATGTAAGCAGTTGTTTCTGTGCATAAAGACCAATAGACAACATGACAGCCCCCCCAAAAGCATCCGGATCACCCCCACACTACATCATTGTCACAGGGCAGTGGTGGAGAAGCTTCTGAGTCTGTCGGCTTCCCCACTGAAAAGATGATACTGAGTTTTCCGTTTGGCCCAGCAATCTTTAGAAACTGAAGCCATTTCACAGTGCTCAGATTCTGGCTCCATCCACACACTGAGCACTGACACTCTGGAGCTCCTCCAGCCCAGATAACACAGTCACATAATGGCTCCAGTTTATCTCCTCTCCAACCTTCCAAACTCCCTTCTCAGTGCCAGCCCCTCCTTCTGGCTCTCTCCCGCTCTACATACCAGAGAGGGAACTCAATTAATCTTGCCACACATTTACTTGTCTTGGTCCAACTCTCTGTGGTGGCCTATTAAATCATTTTTGTGGGAGCAGAAGATGCAGAAACCTCTGAAATCAGAGGAGTAGAAGGTTTGTTACGTAAAGCATTTTTGGCTCACTGTAGCCATCTGCATCAAAATGGTTTTTCCTCTGAGCTGCATTTGTTTGCAAACACGCTGTGATTAAGGCAAGAAGACGAGGAGAGATCAAGATGCTGTTGCTCTTATTTGATCATGAAAAACCACGAGTTACTCTATTTTTATGCAAAGTGATTGTGATTTTTGAAAAGATGTTGAATTTAACTGCAGAACTAAATTTATATTTTTTTACTTGTGCTATAAAACTGTTGCAGCGGATGTGCAGTATGCATTGCAGTTGACGTTAAATGCTCCCTGTGTTTTCATCAGAGGAATCATCGCATACAGTGAAAGTGGCTTCATACATACTGATCGGAGTGGGTTCACTGTCGATGGCCATGGGCTTCTTCGGTTGCATCGGAGCCATCTACGAAATCCGTTGTCTGCTGGGTCTGGTGAGGAAACACATTCATTTTCAACTCAAACGTGCAACAGTTTGGTTTCACACACAGTTAACACCCTCGCTATCGCAGCTGAATAGGAAATAGACCTCAAATCTTCTGTTAGATTGTGTGTTCAACCACACAGGAAACTCAGCGTTGAATTACATGAAAAGAAGATAAATGGGACTCAAACCAGAACTTCAACCTGATCTCTCTGTTACAAAGATGTAAAATGCCCAAAATAATACATAATTATAAAATACATTACTCGAAATGTCAGTTGCACCTTCAGCACTTGTTCATTCAGCTAAATGCACCTGCTCGAAATGCCAAGCTTGACTTACAACACCTGACAGATTCTTGCTGACAGCAAAGCCCTTGTGCATTTCTGCTCATGTGTGAGCAGAGGGTTCGCAGCATGTGTGGATTTACTGAGAGAAGGAGGCATGACAGGATAAAGCCAGTTAGATGCGGGGGGTACAACAAGAGCAGGGTCAGTTGCATGACCTCTATCGCGTTAAACCTGCGAGGAGTTAACTGAAGAACTGCTGTGACCTACTTCTCCATGTGACAATGACCAGCTGGCGATAGACCAGAGTGTCACACACACGCCCCCCCCGCGCACACACACACACAAACACACAGAGGACATATACAATGGAAGGATCTTAAACGAATTGCTGGAGGCTTCAGATATTAATTTCAAAATTTAAACACATTAATGTTAGTTGATGCGTTTAGCTGTGTTATTCCTTTGTTGTTGTGTTTTCAAACCTGCAGTAATTGATTTTTATTCATCATTTAGTGGAAACCGAAACAAATTATGAACAGAACATTGACTTTGACCACCTTAGTACTAACTTGATATGTGGAAATTGTTAACAAATTGTTCATTTATACATGTACAAAAAGTTTGTTACTGTAAGTCCAGTATTAAATATCTAAATCATCTACATGGGAAAATATATGGTTCTTTCACACACTTCACTGTGCTCACAAGCTCATTGGTGAGTGTGTCTGCTGTTTAGAGCAGGGCAGATTATAGCTGCTTCAATAGTTATTATTCAATTTTTCATCATTTTCGATCAAAAACCATTGATTTCATGTGTTGTTTTTTGTGCTTTAAAAGTCTGAATTATAAATGTTGTTAAACTGACTTTCCCCTCATCCTGCACAGTACTTCACCTGCCTCCTGCTCATCCTCATCGCCCAGGTCACAGCTGGAGTCCTCATTTACTTCCAGAGAGAGCCGGTAAACACCAACTTGCTTTATCAGTCTACTTCTTTCTGTTCCCTTCTTTCTTAATTTCACTGTGAATATATTTTATCCCCTTCTTTCTACTTCATGTTTTTTTTAGAGTTGCCCTTTTTGTTCTCTCTCTTAATTTAAACACCTCTCACCCCTTCCTGCCCTCTCACCACCCTTCCTCTCACTGGTACAGTTGTGTCTGGCTGCTTTTAGGTTATAAGCTTAACCTTGTAGTAACCCCCCGGCATTCTGTGATCAGACTCGGTTTCATAGCTCGATGAATGGACAGTGAATGGATGTTGTGTCTGATGTGATGTTGGGAGCTGGTAGAAAGTGAGATTAAGTAGGTGGATTGACTGAGATGTGTTGTGTTGAAGAGAGAGAGATTTAACACATTTATGTTCACTGTATGTTCCTACAGTTGCTGTTATATGCTGACATATTATATTGGTATGCATAATGTTGCCCCTCTTAAAACCCTTAATTATCACAACAGGGACTGAAACCACTCCAACAACGCCTTTGAATAGACAGTACCTCCTATAGGCAGCATTACCAAATCACCAAGTGACTGGATGCTCTGAATTAAGTGTCTTAAGAGTCTGTTTTGAAAAAAAGAAGTGTAATAAAGTTTCAATTATTCATTAGATAGATAAATAAACCCGTGGGGTAATTTAGTCATTAATACTCAGATAAGGACAAATTAGAAAACAAGTCAAACAGGTCACACACACGATCATTGCTCAGTGGGTTAAGTGGGTGAAACATATCCTGTTGGATTATATATTTTTGTTATCTCATTAAACACACACACCTCCTGGGCTAGTCTCCTACTCTGACAGGCATAAAAAAAATCTGTTGCCGTTGACAAACCTCACCTCTTTAGGAGTCTGATAGGTGGAGGCTGTCGTTGATCTTTCAACCGTTTGACTTCCAGGCCATGTGTGTGCATGTGCGTGTGTTTGCGTACATGCGTGTGAGTGTAGCCTTAGTCATGCTCCCTATGCTTTGATTACCACAGGGCAGGGAGGTGCCCTCTGCCAGAATGGGGTGAGGCTCTCACTCATCTCCAGTCGAGCTCTGAAGCTACAGCGCTGCTACTGTTCTGTGGTCTCACACACATAAACACTGTGTTCTACTAAGCTATATTTGTGCAATGTCTCAGCCCAACAGCACAGGGCGCTACCACCTGAGGTGTTGCCCCAAGAAACTTAAAGTTCAGATGTTGGTTGTAAATTTTTGAAAATATTAAATGTGGCTATGGCTCCTTGTTTCTTAAACACTGTTACTCTTCCAATCTTTTGACCCTTTTATTATATGCAAACGATTGTTGACATATTGTCATCTTGTTTCCAGTTGAAATATGAGATGGCCAACATCATAAAGGGCATGATGATCAACTACACCGGCGAGAACAGGACCACAGAGCACACATGGGACTTCATTCAGAGGACGGTAAGTCCCAAACCTGGTTTGTTCAAGACAAATGTTTAACATCATCCACAGTTTGAATGATTCTTATAGTGACTTGAATGCACATATTTTGTAGTGGATGTCGTTAGTTTATTTAACAAGTGTTCTCTGTTTATTCTTTTCATTGTAACGCTGCATCCACACCATGGCTAGAGGATGAGGAGTACAGTGACCTCATTCAGCTGCTCTGACAAATGAAACTAGATACAAACAAACTGTAAACACTTCCTTTTAAATTAAATGAATCACTTGTATTACTTGATATGGCATTTTGATTAGATTTTTTGGGGGGGGTTTCACCTAGTAGGAGGTATAAGGTCATAACTGTCAGAAATTCCCCATATCTATAACTAGTAATTAAAACTCAAAGGCTGATCTAACATCTAACAATACATATGTACAAGATGTACTCAGCATAATTGTACACGCAATACATTCTTTTACTGTGTCAGGTAGAGGATGTTGAATGTTTTTATATTTCTCCAGCGGTATTTAGCCGACAGCTATGGTTTTATGTGCAAGTGAAATTTACTGCCAACACAAGAGAGATGGAAATGAATGAAAATAATTATCACAAAACATAGGACCTGGATTGTTACCCACCAAAATATCTACCAATTGCTTTGCTCACTTAACTTATATGTGTGATTCACATTCTTGTGTGTAGCCTCTTTTTCATGCAACATGGAAGTTTTGCCTCCATCTGTCTTTCTTCCCCTGCTGTTGGAATTTTGAAAATACATCGGTGTCATTTCCCCTCCGCAGACAAGATTGTGAGCGTTTCACACTGAACATTTAGACTGTTTTGACAGCACCATCACGCTACTAGTGCACCTCGTGATGTCATGATTGTCAGTGTGAACCCACTTATGCACTCTAAATAGCAGCAGGTATTGAAGTTTGCAAATGGAGAGAGAGGTATTTTTAATAAAAGCAGGGTTCTATTCAGTTTCTATGCTGACCCAAAAAACGTAATTCATTTCAATTGTTTTGTTCTCCCTTATCCCGACACTATTAGTGACAAATTGTGTTTTTGTACTTTGAATGAACTCATTAAGCTAATCAGCCCATTTCGAATAAAAGCAGGTCTGAAGGAAGCTGAAGTCAGATTGCGCTCTGATTATGTTTTATGTTCACTATCTCTTTGCACCACTCTTTGCTTTCTCTTTCCTGCCAAACCTCTTTCTCCCGGTTCTTTCTGAGAACAGGAGCTAACAAGAAAATGACCAGAAACACCACAATAGAAAAGCTATTTTGTATTTATATATATTTGTATTTTCACATCAGTTTATGTATGTGCACTCCTTTTTTCACATCCTTTTTCTCTTTCATTGTCCAGATGAAGTGCTGTGGATGGACTGGTCCAGGAAACTGGTCTGAGAACCTTTTGATCATGAACAACTCTAAGAACCTTTACCCATGTTCCTGTCGTAACGGGGATCTGCCTGGCACGGACATAGAGGAAGTCGGCATGTGTGAGCACACGTCCAAACAGCTACCTGTCTACGAAACGGTACATAACTCTTCTAAAATCTGTCACCATGTTTCTGCACTGAGGTTTGAGATCATAAATATGAATTTAATTCAAAGCTGTTTATCACATTTTTTCCATCTCATTTCTGTCTCAGTATCAGGGTCAGTATGTGTGAATGCATTTTAGTTATGGAGAAACATAATTCTAAGAGATGGTAAATTCCTTCAAACTGGCTCCTTGCTTCATAAATAATTTTGGTCTCTCACTCGTTCATATGAAACTGCTGCCTGCTCTCTGCCTCTTTGTGCTGAATCGACAACTTTTCTTGAGAACTTTTCTTGAGCATTTTTTTCGATTGTCAGTGTTTTCATTTGAATTGGTCAGCCATGATTCATGATTCATGTAGGATATCACTCAGTTTAACTATGGTTGTTTACATTAAAGGGATGGTTAACTGAATAAAATTCACTCATTTTCTACTCACCACTATGCTGATGGGGGGGGGGTTACTAAGTTGGTAAGTACTTTAAAACTGTACTTACTTACAGTAAATGTACTTAGTTACATTTACTGCAGTACCATGGTGACATTTTCCTGACACAGTCCGATTTTTCTTCTACAATAAAAACCCTCTGAGCTCCGTGTGAATGGAGACATTTTATCTTTGGGTCCAGACTATAGTCAGTGGCCCTTCAGCTGTGTGAACAATGCTACTGCACGCCTGCATTGTTCATATAGACGTCACACCTCTACTGATTACATCAGTCTGTTAGATCCGTGTTGTGTAACTCTGGGTTCCAGCTCAGTGTGACACTGTGTGGTTGCTCAGCACAGTGAGCACTGACGGCCGAGGGTGGTTGTTTGTGCTCTGTGATTCTTTAGAGAAAAAAATAAAATAATGGCGAGCTGTACTGTTGTTTGGTCTGCGTGTTACAGGAACTTTACTCTGTCGACTGTTTTTCCTCAGCCCAGTTAAGCCGTGTTATTCTTCCTCTCAGCGACTCGGCCCAAAGCTAACAGTGGTGTTTTGAAAAGGCTCTGTTCATGTCCGGCTGGGATCACATAGTCATCCATCTCTCCTCTTCATGTTGGCTCTCAGCCTGCCCTCCTTCCATTTCTCTCTCAGCCTCATCCCCCCTCTCCCTCTGTTTTTCTCTCCTTCAGGGCTGTATCGTCAGCGTGGAGAAATGGCTCCTGGACAACTGCGGCGTTATTCTGGGAATGTGTGTCGGCGTGGCAGTCGTGGAGGTAAAATATTTATCCCTCCCTCACACTCAGTTCAGATTTTTATCAGGACTATCTTGATACCCTGCTGTCATGTTGTATGAATGAGTTTGGTCACTGTTACTCTTGTCAATGCTCACCATGAGTCTTGATACATAGGAAGGAAATAAACTGAGACACTCTCACTGTGGAAAAATTCAAAAGTCCGTTAATGTGGCTTCTAAGTGATGATGTCAGCAACTCTGCAACTCGTGTAGCAAAACCGATTTTCCCAGTTGTTGTTCAGACTTCAGGTGGCCTTTAATCTCTCAGAGATATCAGGAAGTGACATCATAGGCTCATTATCATCAATAGACAGAGCAGGTGACTCTAATAAGAGGAAAATAACCACAATTACATATATTTCACTATGAATCTAAAATTCAGTTTTCACAAAAACTGCGTTCATGGCCAGTATGGAGGATTGTTAGTCTTACTTTAGAGAATAGGAATAGATCGATACCACTCTCAATTAACTATCCTTGTACATAAGCTCCCTTCAAACCACATTATTAAATAGTTACACTGCACTTATTGGGTATTGAGTTAATAAAAGCGATATAATGTGTTAATTTGTGAGATTTAAAAGTTCCAGAAGGCAGATTCCAGTCTTTATGCTGAGCGAAATGAACTTGTCTCCTGTCTCCAGCTTCCTATTTAATAGAAGCACTGGTGATTGGTATCATTTAATAAGAAAATATGAGGATTTATGTCACAGTAAAAGTGAATACATTTAGTTTTCAGGGTGTTTAAAATGTCTCTGGGTCTTAGGAAATTGCACTGGTCGTTTTTATTGTCTTCTGGCAATGCAACGAGAAAACAATTGTCTCATTCATTGACCTCAGCCGTTGACATCTTTTACGTGATCTAATTCTTTCTTTTTGACACATATGCTGTGTATGTATGAGTGAACGCTCCACTGCTCAGTTTCAGCTCTGATAACTAAAGTGACAACTTCATTTTCCTCCAGCTCCTCGGGATGATTCTCTCCATGTGTCTGTGCAAGAGCGTCGTCCAGGAAGATTACACCAAAGTACCAAAGTACTGAGCTGAGGACAGAGCCAGCTTCACACCACGCACAGATGGAGTGACTCTTTCTCTCTCCCTCGCTCTCTTCGTCTCACATTCTTACACAAACACACACACACACAAAATAAGACAGCTGTCTTTCCCCATTTCAGCTTCTCCAGCCTCGACAGCTGTGCAAATTTCTCACGCTCCACATGTCGCACTCACCTCTCAATCAATGTTGACCCAGTTGTTGGACACAAGTTACCATTGTTGTCTCATCACGTGTTTTCTGATGAAGCATTTGTGATTTTGGACAGTTTGATACCATGTAAATTCAGGTGTTGTTGTGTTTTCCTCGGCTGACCTCAGAAAAGCGCTTATCGTAGTAGTCGTAGTAGAGAGAGCACTTTAGTGACATTTGGCGAAGCTGAGAGCTGAAGTACCTTGTGACTCCGGGGGACAGGGAGGGAGATGAGAGCGAGGCGGGAGGGAGGGAGGATGCGGGAGGGAGACACTCTGAAGGGTTAATGCCACTCTGTGATCCTGTAGCTGGTATTTTTGGTTGCAGAGGGTGGAGGAGAGGCGCAGGGCAGGGCTGCTGCGGTGGAGGGTTTGGCTTCTGTCATCAGGACCTTGTACTCAGTAGCCTTAATATTAACCTTCATTTTCACCCACCGCCACCTCCTCCTCCTCCTCCTCCTCCTCCTCCTCCTCCTCCACCTCCTCCTCCTCCTCCACCTCCTCCACCCTCCCAGAATCAATCATCTGTTGGCGTCTCTAAATCACAGCTCATGTCCTCCTCTTGGGCGTGTCTGACTGGTAGCCAGTAGCTCTCCAAAATGACTAGTTTTGCATGAAGTAAGTGTGTATGATGTGTTGAGTGAGTATTTTATGTCTTTTTTTATATTCTCATGTAAGCTCTGTTTTTTTTACAACTGTATATATATATCTATGACCTTGGTAAGGGATTATAAGCACTTTGGTGCTTTGTCAGCATTTGAAACGGGAAAGTTGTCACCCACATTCCCTTGTTTTAAGAGTGCTATTGTTCTTTGTTTCCTCTCTGTTGCTGATCATGTACAGAAAGTGGCTGCCACAGCAGCTCGTCAGCAATTATTTGGTCTGAATCAGAGAAATATGAGACTTTAAGAGCGAATCTGTCGTCACTCTTAAAACTGTATTTTATTTTTTTAGCGCAGCATTAGTTTGTGAACAGTCGAACGAAAATCACCATCCTCAATCATCACCATTTTCTTCTTTCTTTTGACCCTTAGTTACCACAACGAAGCTGCGTTGGCGAAAGCTCTCAAATCTCACTGATCTCTTCATGACAGTTTTCTGAGAGGTCATTTTTATATTCTCAACAAGAGCAAAGAAAAGAGTGAGAAGCCAGCAGTGATTTCATATTTTCAGACGGAGCTTTGACCAGAAAATGACTGTTCATCAACTGATTCTGTCTTTGCTAAAAAAAAACGTACACAATTATTTCTTTGAGTTTCCTCTCCCCACTTATATTTCCTCTTCACCTCAGTCATTCCACTTCATTTCAACACACTATTATGTCTGAATTTGTCGTCGGTGGATATAGTGTTTTTATGTAGTTGTAGTTTTTCATGCCATCTCGCACTTGTCACTTCCAATCGTGTTCATGACGAGAGGAAATAGAAAGGTTGTCTCTCACAGTTACAACCAGCCTCTGTTTTATGACCTGCCAAAATAGAACGTTAATTTAACTTAATGAGAGATGAAGGTTTTTTATTGTGTTTAAAGAAGTTTGTACACTTTTTACAAAAAAGTTAATGTTTAGTTGTGTGACGGTCCCTTGCTCTGTCTGTATGTGTTCTGTTTATCAGCAGCTCGATCTTATGTTTTGTTCCCATGGTGCAGCTGTTTAGCCGGAGGGCGGAGTCTTGTTGGTTGGAAGCAACTGGACTCAGTGGTCCTGTCCTATCAGAAATGTCCTTTTCTTGCCAGGACCCCTCCTCACATTTGAAGTTTTGTGTTCATTCATCCAACATCATCATCTCTCAATCTACAAATGGAACTCATGCACACACACAGCCCCACCAATGACTTTATTGATGACCGCATCCCACAGAATCTTAAGTTCATTTTGTTTAAATAATAATACTTAAGTTCATTTTGTTTTAATAATAATAAATAAAAGTTTAATATTGAACAAATTATGATTTGCCTTCATCCTGTGTCTTGCGCATAACGTTGTTTTGACTCTAGAGCCATGTTTTAAACATTGTGCATTTGTTTACATTATTATTCAACTTAAATCCAGTCAATGTTGTCGAACCCTTGGTGATAACTAAACGTCTATAAATGTGCAGATATTTTGCCTGTTGGAAGTTTTTCTTTCCCTCCTGGTCGGTTTCGGGTTTGGTGCCTAAAGCAACCACAAGAGGGCAGCATAAACTTATTAGTGTCTGGCTCAGGCAGAAATGCATTTGGACAAAGATGAACAAAAGTAGTAGGTTGTTTCGCTTCAAGTATAAAATAAAACATGAGTCATCAATGAATTCATTATCTTTTAAAAGCTTAATTTGTGAAAGCTGCAGGTTTAATCATGTGTTTTATGCAGATTCTTAAGAAATTAGTTATTTCCCTACCTTCTTAGTTCTACAGCTCGAAGCCAAGTCATTTCTTTTTGTGATTACGCCCTAATTTAGTCTTTGTATTTTCTTGTTAATTCAGTCTGACTACCCCGTGGCTGAACAGAACAAAGAGCTCCACATCCACTCACTCCCCTGCGATAACAGGATTTATCCTCCGCTATAAAAATAAAAAAGCTTCTCTCATAAGATATGAGTGCAGTGACTCTTATCAAGTCTTATGATGTCATATCATGCCAGGAGCTGATGCCCCAGCACTGACGCACAACAACACAGCACAGACCTCGCTGCTCTAATCCACCATTGTCTGACTCTTCACCTCAGTGTAGCGAGTACAGCTCGGTGTTCTCCAGTAACAGAGCCACATCTCATCAGGGAGCTGTGTCCACGCTGCGTGCTTCAACCACCAAACCCCAATCCCTCATTTAAAATGCAATATTGAACATAAGAGTAACGTGTGCAGGCTGCAGGAAGGGGAGAATAAAAATGGAGGTTATCCACACATGGGAGTAGAAGCTCCCATGATGACCACTGGGCTGGAAAAAGGAAACGACTCTCCTGGATCTTCCTCCCTAACAAGACAGAGGATGAGGTTCATATCAGAATAAACTGATTACATGTTGACATCAGTGAAAATGTACAACAATAGATCAGCTGGGTGGCCACATGATCCCAGTGCATGTCACCCAGCTGCAACATCCATGGTTGGAGTCAGGCCTGGTCCATGCATGTCTCACTGGAATTGTGATATAGGTCCTATAGTTTGTATTATTATTACAGAACTGCAACATGTACTCAGTTAAGCTAATATTATTTGATGTGATTGTTTTCATACATATATATATATACAACCTTGCTCGCTCTTTGAGATCCTCTGGCAGGGGCCTTTTAACTGTTCCAGATTCTCTGAAGACTTAAGGGGGACAGAGCTTTTGAAATAAGACCTCTGAGGCTCTGGAGCAAAATGCCTGAGGAAATATGACCAGCTGAGTTTGGAGCAAAGCTGAAAACATACTTTAATCATACATCATTCCCTGATCTGACCTAATTCTGGTTTCTATTATTGTCATAGGTGGTCATGTTTAAATTTGCTTTATTTATTTCTTGAGACTGTGTTTTTGTTTTTGTTATTTTCATGTATAGTTACTTGTGTTTCTTAGTTTTGAGCAGTACTGTACAAATAAAGATTTGACACAGGTGGTTTCTTCAAAGACATTCCAACCTTTTTATCATTGAAAAAGTTTCTTAAATATTCGAAATACTACTTGACCTCTGGAAAATCCCATCCTGCTTCCCCTCCTTTCCTCACCTGGCCTACTGCTTCCTCCTGTGACTCCACCCACAGAAGCAGGAAGCCAGCTCGCTCCTTCCTGGACAAACAGACCTGACTGTGGTGCGGGCCTCATCCTCTCAAGTTTGGACTAAGACATGACCAATGTGAGTTTGCCATCGTTCGATGGTCCCATAGTAAACAGGTCTGGTTTGTATTTTTGATAATTGTGTCAATAAGTAATGGTTAGATCTTTTTACTTCAGTCGTGGAATTGACAACATGCATTGTCAATAACAATGGTTTGTGAACTTGAAGTCGATGCTCATCTGTCCTAAACAACACACCACTGAGTTGATCGACTGGAACCAGAAATCAAAGGAGAACTCCAGCAGAAGGAGGAGAATAAAAACTCTCCTTGTTTCATTGTCTCCCTCTTTGTGTTGTGTTAAAGCTTTTGAATTTGTTTTGCGTTAATGCGCCTGTGCGAGACGTCTCGGCCACCCTACCTCTGGTCGTGTGTGTGGCGGTCAGAGCAGCCATTTAAACAGCTGAAAACAATCAGTATAGTAATTGGCAGATTAATGTTGGATAATGTTAGGACTGATTAGTTCCAGTCATTAGGGATTACTTGGGAAACAAATTAAAAGATTAGTTGATAATGAAAAATACATATTTGACATTTATTCTTGCAGGCTGTGGAAAACCAAATAGACTTTTATTAATTTCCTAAATCGTGTGTAAACAACCCTCCTGTTTCTCTGCAGTCTTGTTGGTGCTGGTGAGCTGTGTGTTGGCTTCTTCTGATTCTATCGTAAACGCTGTCCATTTACCTCCACTTTCACTTCGAACTGGTGAATTCTAATCTCCACCACTGCTTCGTTCTGCAGAAGTTTGTGGTAGTCATCTGAAGAAAGGGGAGGCAGCTCGCTGCTGGTTAGCTGTGACTAGTATAACATATCCAGCCACACTCACTCAGTCCCTCAGAGGGGATAAAGAAGTCAAAATATGACAATAGCATAATATTTCCCAGAAATGTAACCCCAGTGATTTGTCAGTACACACAAGCTGCTGGTTGTACTTTCTTACAGCAGAAAAACAAAAAATATCAGTAGAAAAATGCAAAAATGGAGCAGCAAAGAAAGCAAGAAGTAGAATTAGAACTATTCCCCACCAAACGTTAACCCCTGACCTCCAAATCAGCTTTTGGAGAACACAGCTTTTGTCCATAACTGGACAAGCTGACGCCAGTTAACTGACTTTGACATATTAGATCTGAAATGTGTTCCAAAGGTTCAGGCACATGAGCACACTCATACTCATGCACGCACACACACACACACACACACACGCACGCACACACACACACACACACACACACACACACGCACCCTTTCCAGGCCAAAGACGAGGAGGAAGGGAAGCTTCCTGTGTTTTTTCCACATCACTGTCAGTGAGTCCAGGGCAGAGGAAATGGGACAGATGATGATGATGATGATCCCACTGAGAGCAAATGAAATGAAAAGGATGAATAATGAGGATGTAGAGTTCATGTGTTCACTGAGGTTCTCTCAACATTGTATTCTGTTAATATGGAGCATACATGTATTTGACACGGCAGCATTGAGCTAATATAAATGAGATGTCTGTTTACCACAATGCTCGCTCTGTGTTTCTATCCGTCTTCCTATCGGTGTGTGTTTTCAGTTGTCGTGCCGCTCCACTGGTGCTCATCCAGCCGGTGAGGGCCCCTCTCCAGCGGCCCCTCTGTGGCTGCCCCCGCCGCCCGCTGTTCCTCTTCCCCCTCAGCTTCCTCTTCACATTGTGT